TGGGGGGACATAGGGGGCACTTGCGTTCTCCCCGTGCTCTTTAGGGACTCAGGAGGGAGAGTGCATAGTGAACCCATACAGGGCTGCGGACTTTCCCTGTCTGCCTATGGGCAGACGCACGGGAGTCCTCAGCACTATTTTTGAGCACACTTTTTTGCGAGGCAAGCACGTCAGGGTGTGCTCTATCGGCCGCAGCCCGGACTTCTCCACGGTTACAACCGAGGGAGAGGTGAGTGAGGCGCAGCGGCTGCTAAAGTCGGTGTTGGACGACAGTGCGTGCATACATCGGGGCCTGTGAGAGATATAACGCCGGGTTACGTATTGTAACCCTTGTTATATTAACACAGGCGGAGCACTCTACCTTGGGGGCACTGTCTGTCCTATACCGCTCACTGAAGCGTGGTGTAGGATAGTGGTCAGGAGGCGAGGCCTCCTTTTATACGGAAGTGAGATACGCACGCATTCAGGTAGGCCCGCCCCGGGGCCGGCTACATCTATAGAAATCTCAGTAGGTGAATGCTTGCATGATAAGGTAGTACCCATAGAGTCCAGTAGAGGGCTCCGCCTGTGTTAATATAACAAGGGTTACAATACGTAACCCGGCGTTATCAGCCTGCAGCCAGGGAGGAGAAATCAGCTGAGCTGCCTGCTCCCTGCACACAGATGTGTGTGTGAGGAAGTCCGTGGATTGGTCAATTTGGACCAATCAGCGGGGGCTTAACGTAACGGCTCCGCGGACGTAACGTAACGGCTCCACGGATTGGTCCATTTCGTTCCGGGTACGGCTTGACATCATGCCGTACCCGGAAGAATCAAATGGACAATGACGTATCTCCAACAAGGCGTTTTGGGGAGGTATTTTCTGTGTTAGAGTTTTACTCGCTACAGGGTGTACTTTGAGGGTTTTGACTCTGCACACCGTTTACATGCATAAAAACCTTCATAACACAAGGGGACGGGTAATAACCGGAAAAGCATGACATGGGCCCTTTAAATGTTCATCTTCAAATAAACGATTAAATTAAATTAAATGAAATGATGTGGCCTAAATACACATAAAGCAGCTAAAAGTGTTGAAGTGCAATGATAACACAGAGTGAGAGGATCTCTGGATAGGAAGCACTAAAGAGAAAGCTTTCAGACTCGATTTAAAGAACTCAGGGTGGGGGCGGACCTCAGATCTCAGGGAGTTCGTTCCAGATCTGCAGCGCATAGAAGCTAAAAGCTGCCTCAGTGAATTTGGTTCTGACCCTGCACTGTAAAAACTGTTGCTTTGGTAAAACTTAAAAAATATGTGTCAAGCGGTTCCAAGCAATTATAGGAGTTGGGTAAACTCACTAATGTGATTTTTTCTGCATATGAAAAGATGAGATGAGCCTACAATTAAAAGCCCAGATATTAAGTGTAACCAATGCAAATAACAATCTGCTAAGAACCACACGAGAATAAAGTAAATTATAAAACACAATTGAGTTGCCGGAACCTATATACGACAAACTCTTCCTGATTTCAATCCAACCCTTTAAATATTTGATAGCATTGAAACATTGCAGATTAAACAAATAAATTAAAAAAGGGAACGTTATGGACATGTTAATACATTTTATTAAAATGTGATTATTTCAAAACAGTTGTCATAAAAGAGTAACAAGTTTGTTTAAAAGCACAACACATTAACATATGGAGAGACACATGGTTATTACTTGATGGTTATAACTGCATCTGGCTCTTGGGCAACGTATCACTTCATGCTGTGCATCACGAGCCTGTTGCACTTCGACCTCTGCTGTTCCCTGTAAATACAAACAAAACACTATATTGAGTACAAATCAGGACACACCATGTGTTTTCCTCAAAACAAAAATCAAATCCGTCTTGAAAACATAACGAGCCAGTTTACATTAGCTGTTAACAGACGGTAACAGAGGTGCTATTCACATGCATTACAAGGGGTTTAAGGGTGGTTTGCAAGAAAATGAACCAAATAGTCATGATATTGATATAGTTCATAAAATGTCCAACTACTTCTTTTTAACCCCACCTCATGCTCAGAGATGTATATAAAGTGGCACATGGGTCCTAGAATAAAAAGAACAGACGATTATTTCAACTTTTATCTTGATAAGTGAGAGCGCAGGCCAGTCTACATGAATGCAGGGCAAGGCACGTTTCTGTCCAAAGGTTCCACGATGGAGTCGATAATGTTTTAAAATATCACTTTGAGTGGTGACACTAGTGCTGCATAGTTTACATCTCCATCGCATCTGTGATTCAAAAAATAGAAATGGGTACGTTTACCTGATGCTCATTATATTAGTATGTAAACATAACACGTCTTGAATTAACCTCTGAAACAACAACTCTGACACACTCAAGGGCTTACCTCATGTGAACCTGAAGTCGATAGCAGGAGGCTAAATGTCTTCAAGAGGAGGTGTGTTTTCTGGTGAGGCAAATGAAAGAACAAAATAGTTACATGATGACAATGTAACAATCATTTCAGTAGAATTCATTAAAACATATTTAATTCAATTAATGGAATCAAACATTAAAACACAAGTATCATTTAAAACGGTATTGTATTTATATACGGATGGCATTGTTAGATACCAGTACAATTCCATGATTCTCTACACAGCAGATCCTAATTACTTCAATATACACTCCTTTATCTCGTTTGCATACTGTCTAATATCTACTTTATGTTGTAGTAAAACATCTCCTTAATAAAACTGTATTTATTGATATTTCTCGCTAAAGACTGCATTTTACTGGACTACATTGAACACATCTTGCTGACGTTATACATGCCTCCTCGCCCAATACACACTTTTACTGAATTGCGCCTGAATGCACCTTAACTGAAGTCACCTCCGTCTCTTTCTACTAGTGATGGGAATTATGGCTCTTTGAAGGGAGCCGGATCTTATGGCTCCGTTCCTTTCAAAGAGCCGTTCAAAAGAGCCGTTCAAAAGAGCGGTTTTTTTAAAAAGGGGGCGGGGTTACTAGGTTTATCTGCGAAATAATCACCAGGATAATGATTGACTGCATTGCCAGACCTAATGTCAATAATCTGCATTGTAAACATGACACAAGGTGGCGCCATATCCATGTCATTCATGTCAGTGAATGTACTTTGAATTTACCCTCTGCATGTGTTAAGTAAATAAAGTTGCCTTGCCTTGAATGAAATTCATGCAACTCTTAATATTAGATACTGTGTTTTTAAGTGGCGATGGAGATTATTTGTTGACCCTGCTTTAAAGGATATTTTGCCTTTACAAATGGTGCGCTTTATCACTGCCTGGGTTTTGGTTGAAGTGAATCCAAATGCTGCTGCGTTTTCGCGTTTGGCTCATTTTCCATCCGAAAAACACGTCGTCTACCTGTCCTGTACCACTTGGTATGACTTCTCTCTCGCGCATATTCCGTTAAGACCCACCCCACCTCACTCCTCGTGCTGAAACCTACCAAACAGAGTAGGGGCGGGTCTTCACAGAATACGTTTGGGGAACAAAATCAAGCTTTTTAAAAGGCGAGTGGATTTTGGCAGGCAGTGAGTGCGGACCAACTTTGATTGAACGATAACAAGAACGGCTCTCACCAAGTAGGACTCGGTTCCCCTCGTTCGTACCAAAGAGCCGTTCAAAAGAATCGGCTCGTTCGCGACCGACACATCACTACTTTCTACTGAGAGCTAACGTTAACTCTCCTGCAGATTCCAACATGGATAGCGTTGCATAAGCATGAAAAATATAGTTTGCACTTAATTTTGTATAATAACAACTCGATGCTGTAACTGCAGACTATGAGTTTAAATTGGGTACACTAAGATTGTAGAAAGATAATTCATTGCTCACAGTAAAACAAACGGCAAAATACATATAGAGGAATTAATATCAAATAGGCGCATTAGTAACTTACTCTTACATAACCGCTGGGTTATAAAGTAGTAGGGAATAGTTTTAACGGAGGTATTTTACCGCACAACATGCACGGCAGGAGAGCCTCTGAGCCCCGCGGCCGCATCACGGTGCCCGGGCCAACGCTTAGAGCGGCATAGGGGAACAGTTTGCGGAGTTGATTCTTAATACATACTCTTAACTTAACCACTTTTAACAGAATTGCGTCGGTAAGCACTTGATGCAAACTTTGCCCAACAACTTTGCGTGAAGAAATAGACTACATGAGCACGACAGGGCTGAGTCTAACTTTAACAGCAGTAATGGCGCTGGCATGCATTAAAATGTCGATGTTTCGTTCAAAACAGTGAATACAAGAAAAGTAAATAACACATTCTAGTTAAAAAGCAGTAATTAATAACTCAGGTGGCATGCTTACTTGTTTTACGATGGTTTGAGGAGGATCCAACGCAAACACGTGTCCAACTGCTGAAGAACCGCTGCAAAGAGGAACAGGAAGTCTCACACCACGGTATTCTCGTTTGAGGGCGTGGCATGACCGTGGCGTTGAAAAAAGCATTTTTATTACGTTTTCCAAAATGTCTTTTTAAAGAAAGTTCAGAAAATGTGATATTCATTTACAAATTAATGAGTTCTTAAAACATGTTCTCATTGTTGCTTACGTGTTACTTATTTAAACGCACATTGAAAAAAAACTAATTTAGGGCAAGTCAATTACATAAAAAAATTGAGTTTTGTTAACTTCACCATCGGAACTGTTTTTACAGTGGACGATGAGTAAACCTGCCCCGATGATCTGAGAGCTCTGGGTGGCTCGTTACAGAGCAGCATATCAGACATGTATTCTGGTCCCAATCCTTTGAGTGCTTTGTGAGTTAAAAGTAAGATTTTAAAGTGTGTTCTTTGTGGTATTGAAAGCCAGTGCAGAGCTTTGAGAGCTGAGGTGATGAGCTCAGTTCCTCTGGTTTCAATGAGGACTCTGGTGGCAGCGTTCTGGATGAGTTGTAGTAAAACACTGTTGCAGTAATCAAGTCTGCTTCTATTATAACCGGACTCTTACTGTGAGTTACAGCTTACTTCTGATCAGCAGATGGAGGTCGTCCTTTAAAGTCTATGAAGTCGTCCTTGGAGGCGTCGCTCTTTAGGGACAGACAGCTGGGAGAGTCTGGTCTCTGCTGCTGGACCCTGAAACAGAAACAGATGCATCAAGAGAAGAAGAAGGAGCTCAGAGGGGAAATGCACATTCTGCATTTGATCCATCCTAGTGTTAGGAGCAGTGGGCTGCCATATGTACGGTGCCCGGGGAGCAGTGTAGGGAACGCTGCCTTGCTCAGGGACACCTGGGTAGCACTTGGTCTTCCGGGGTCTTGAACCGGTGACTCTCTGGTTCCCAAGCCAAGTCCCTACGGACTTTGCCACCACCGCCCATACATTGGCACGCTGGAGAAAAACTGATGAAAATATGTTAAATCTAAAGTCACTCTTTACAATGTAATGGTATAAATCACTCTGTGTTGCCCAACAGATGAACCTTCCAGACTTTCTGAGTGTCCTCTATCAGCCGGTGGACTGCTCTCTATGTGAAGGACTCGGGAAGATTTTCAGAGAAAATCCTAAAGACGTGAAGTTTATCTACAAAGTGCCTCTCGTCTCTTCAGCTGCCCTACAGCCAGCAGTGTGAAGCTAACGTAAACACATCTGTCTTTAGTGGATAACGTCACTGAGTTCATTTCCAGGATGCTAACTGCAGTTCACTTAACGCCCACCGACGTCGCTAATAACCAGGATTTCCTGAAGGTTACACAGAAGCTTTAACACAGACAACAACTGACTCAAATGGCTTTTAGTCCGTTTTAAATTCTTACCCCCCATCAGCAGATTGAGGCTCCATTGAGCGGTCACTCAGGAAACACAGCAGGACTCAGGTCCAGGTTCAGGTCCAGGTCCAGGTCCAGGTTCAGGTCCACCTGGAATAAATTCACACCATAGACTGTATATATAAAGGGAACAACCACACACACACACACACACACACACACACACACACACACACACACACACACACACACACACACACACACACACACACACACACACACACACACACGTAATGATTGATAATAATAATAGTTTTTGTGTGCAGGTGTATCTCAGGTAAAAACAGGAAGAGAGTTATAGTCTGTCTCTGAGTCTCTGAAAGTTAAACTAAAGAGTTGTTCTTATTCTCTGAGCAATGATTGATAATCAGAGTTGTCTCTAAAAGCTCTGAAGTCACAAAAAGTTTCGAAGGTGCGACACGACGAGCACAAAGTGAAACTGCAAACACTTCAAAATAAGTCACAAGCTACCCTGCAGTATCAATCAATCAATCAATCAATCAATCAATCAATCAATCAATGTTTATTTATATAGCCCAATATCACAAATGTTACATTTGTCTCAGTGGACTTCACAGTTTGTACAGAATATCAGTGACAATACGACCCCCTCTGTCCTTAGACCCTCTGTCCTTAGACCCTCACATCGTACAAGGAAACACTTCCAGAGAAACCCCACAGTTTAAAGGAACATGGGAGAAACCTCAGGGAGAGCAACAGAGGAGGGATCCCTCTCCCAGGACGGACAGACGTGCAATAGATGCCGTGTGTAAAGTATACAAAGTCATTCAAACTAGCTGCACCTTTACCAGCTTTGAGAACACTTTCATGATCAATCATTATAAAACATATCATATATATTATTCTGAAATGGACCAATCTGCACAATGACTACTTTTATTGTCGCTACTTTAACTATATTTTGATGCTAAGTGCTTTCTCGTTGCCTTTCTTTGGGGATCACTCTTCACTTCTATCGGACTCTGAAAGCTTTCTGAAATATTCCTCTCGTTCCAGTCACAGTTAGAGCTAGTGCAATAATGCATCCTGTTAGCTTGTTAGCTTGTTAGCTTGTTAGCTGCAGCTGAATCCTCAGAGAGCTTTAGACCTTCATCTGCAGACAAACACAGAGCATCAGTCACTGAGAGCTGCAGGAAGTGTTCATATCTGTGCACGTGAACACCTGAAGTTCAGGCTGAGAGTAACAATGCGTCACATTTACTTATCATTTCATTCTATTCTTCACTCTCATTCATGGATTTGAGTTGGATCATTTTATTCCATGTTTACTGATCTAGTGTTTTTATTTCATGATCATTAACTTCTTGTCCTGTTTGCTTTAGATTTTAATTTATTTCTTATTTATATATTTAGTTTTCCGGCTCAATCTCCACTATCCCTTCTCTCTGTTTATTTCTAAGCATGAAAACAAAGCAATCTGTAAGACATGGCTTAACATGTTTTATTGATTCCTATTTATCAATCCATTTATTCATTTGTATATTTCTATAGTTATCTGTTTGCTTATTATTCATCTATGCATCATTTTCATTCTCTGATTATTATTTATATAGTATTTATATTCTTCAATTTATGTAATTTTTATAATTGTTTCATTTATTGTGAGCTCTTTTTATCACTACTCCTGTTGACTATATTTATTAATTTATTCCTCTTTGTATTTTCACATATTGTTTTCTTTAATTATTAATATTTAAATGTTCACGTTCATCATTTTATTTTTTGTAAACGTATTTACTCATCTATACTTCTTCATATATTATGTAAATGTTTTTACCTTTTATTGTATTTCCAAATGTTCTTATTCGTTTTTATTTAATTAATATATATTTGTATTTCATGCTCTTAAACTATTATCTCTTTACTTTGGTTTGTGACGTTTTTTATGAATGACCTGTGAGTGAGGCTGTGGGATGTGTCGCCCTCTGGTGGCTGAGGGAGGAACATTAGTGTTGTTTTCTTTGATTACTAATGTTTACATTTCCACATTTATTTTAGTATTTAAAAAATGATTTGTATTTTTAAATGATTTCGCTAAATATTTCCGCATTTTAATTTTCGTTCATCCTCTACATTAATTCATCTTAATTTTCACATGTATTTATTATTTTTACATTTTTAAATGTTTTCTTTAAATATACTTTCCTGGTCATGTGACGAGGAACAACCAATCACAGCGGAGATATCTCAATAAATACACACACACTAAAAGATTAATAACCAGAAAAACATGTCATGGGACCTTTAAATACTTCGCTGGTCATGTGACGAGGAACAACAATAGACTGTATAAAGGTAACAACCACACACACACACGCACACACACACACACACACACACACACACACACACACACACACACACACACACACACACACATTATTATTGTATTTTAAAATGTTCTTATTTTATTAAATTCCGCTTCATATATTTTTACATAGGATTTTAATTGTTTTTATTTAATTCATATATTTTTTAATTTCCTGCTCTTCAACTCTTATCTTTGTTTACTTTGGTTTGTAATGTTTTATTTTTGTATTTAAATTATTTTATGAATCAGTTGACCTGTGAGTGAGGCTGTGGGATGTGTCGCCCTCTGGCGGCAGAGGGAGGAACATTAGTGTTGTTTTCTTTAAATACTAATGTTTTCATTTCCACATGTATTATTTTTGTATTTAAAAAAGTATTTGTATTATTAATGTATTCCTCTTTATATTTACAATGTTTTACCTTTACCACTTTTGAAAAGATTATCGTTAAAGGTCCCATGTCATGGCCATTTCTACTGATCATAGTTCCATTGTTGAGGTCTACTAGAATAGATTTACATTGTTCAATGTTCCAAACTCACATTGGTTTCTCATACAGCATCTCTGTATAGTATGTGTATTCACTCTCTGTCCTACACGGCTTGTTGGAGCTCCTGCCCCCCCCCCCCCTCCCTGTGAGCCCACTGTGCTCTGATTGGTCAGCTCGCCCACTCTGTTCTGATGAGTCCACCACCGTTACGGCCCCTACACATGGCGGCGTGCGTTGACGCTTCAACGCTTCTGCCCATTCACTTTGAATGGGGTGACGTCACGATTCGCCGAACTGCATTGTGGGAGCAAAGCGTAGCTTTTCTCGCGGTGCTCGCTGCAAAAGTAGAGCAATGTTCTACTTTTGAAGCTGAGGCGGAGGCGTCAGCCAATCAAATCCCGCGTATGCAAATCTGCCAGTACAAGCGCTAGCCAATCAAACCGTGTGTATGCTGAGAGAGCCAGACTGCAGTTCATTTCCTCATATGCCAAAAAATGGAGGAGAAAATAATCGTAGCGGTAGGGAATCACCCGGTGCTTTCAGTCCCTGCTCACCTACCGGGATACAAACCGGAGGAGCCAGGCATGGAGGGAGGTGGCAGAGACAGTGGGTGAAATAAGAGCTCTTACATAACATTTTATTTATATTCCTTCTACTTTAAAGGGGACCTATCATGCAAAATGCACTTGTGTACGTCTTTTCTACATGAATATGTGTCCCCGGTGTTCCAGGGAACTCACCAAGTGTCAGAAAACACAACCCTCTCTATTTTCCTCCATACCCAAATCTCTAAAAAAGGGGCTGCAACGGATCTGATAAAAACTGATCCAGATTTGAACACTGTCCTGACGTCAGGACGGTGGCGCTACGGCTATTGGGCCAACTCCACCAATCAGGAGGAGACAGCCACGGCCATTGCCGCTCGAAAGCGCTGGAGACGCTGTAGTACATATGCCAGGCCTGTAGGTGGTGCTGTTCTCACTGAATCTGCCCTTGCAGAACAGAGCTATAAATTGTCAAATTGAGCAAAATGAGGCATGGCTAAAATGCATGATCTGTTTGGTATTTTGAAAAAAAAAAAGTATAAATATGCCTTATATAGGTATGGTCCTACACTATATTATTCAAATATAGCATGATAGGTCCACTTTAACTAAAGTACAAGATCTGAGTATAGTAAGTCATATTATTGAAATGATAAATCATATTAATGAGATAGTAAGTCATATGTCATTGCCATAGCTACAGCTGATCAGAGAAAAGTTTAATCAAATCTAAGTTTATTTATCAAATTCAATATCAAAAAACACGATTGTCTCAGTGGGGTTTGCATTATTAACAAACATACACACAATTCATGATAAAAGGACAAGATAAAAGTCAATACAAATACAACAGAAAGTAAATTAAAATACAATAAAAACAATAAAATGACTTATTGTGCGTGGGCTCCGTCACATGCTGAGTCAGTCCATAGCTATCAAGAACACAAAACAGTTCTTTAGCCCCTCTGTCCTGGGGGTTGTCAACATGGATGTTAAAATCACCAACAATGACTAGACGGTCAAAGTCAAGACACACTATAGACAGCAGTTCAGTAAAGTCATCAAAAAAGCTTGCACAGTATTTGGGTGGTCTATAGATATTTAGGAACAGAGCTCGAGAGGAGCATTTCAGCTGAAGGGCCACATATTCAAAAGAAGCAAAGTCCCCATAAGATGTCTTCCTGCATTGAAGGGAATCATTGAACAGAATAGCAACTCCACCCCCTTTCTTATGCATTCTTTCCTGACTCATAAAACTAAAGTTGGGAGGGGTTGATTCGATAAGAACAGCTGCACTGTTATTTTGTTCAATCCAAGTTTCCGTTAAAAACATAAAATCCAGATTGTGCTCAGTGATAAAATCATTGATTAAAAATGTTTTTCCTGCCAAAGACCTGACATTTAATAAAGCTAGTTTAAGTTTGTTAAACACACTATCAGACAGATGTGTTGTGGCAAGCTGTGGCTGACATGGAATCACTGCTAAATTTGATAAACTCACACAAACGTTTGAGCGCTTCCTGTGTCTAAGCTGATTCACCGATCTCAATCTATTACCTATCAACACAGATATCAGCAAAGCTACTGGCAGGCAGGGCCCCGGCATGTGCTGGAAAGAGTTGAGAGTGCCATACGCCCTTCAGCCTGGACCCAACACATATCAGTCAGAGCTTGCTGCCTTTAGTACACACACATCCTTATCAGGTTTCGGGGAGGAACATTAG